GCCCGCACGGACCGGCTGCCATCCCCCGGGCGCTGCTCGTTACTCATTATGGGATCAAAAATCTGAATTCAAAAAGCGGCCGGGGCTGGAAACGCCCGGCAGCGGCAGCTGGGAGAGCAGCACGGCCCTTTGAGCCGGTACCTGCTGTCCCCAGCCGTGCCAGGAGCTGTCACAGCGCTGCCAGGGACAGACGGACAGACGGACAGCCCCAGAGCCTTTTGTTCATCCCACAGCGCTGAGCAGCTCGGGGGAAACGCTGGGCTGGGGTGAGAGGAAACCTGCGGGGGTTTGCAATTCCTGGGTTTGGGTTGTTCATTCCTGGGTTTGTTCATTCCCAAGTTTGGTTTGGTCATTGCTGGGTTTGCCACTCCTGGGTTTGGGTTGTTGATTCTTGGGTTTGTTCATTCTCGGGTTTGGTTTGGTCATTCCTGGGTTTGCCATTCCTGAGTTTGGTTTGGCCGTTCCTGGGTTTGGTTTGGTCATTGCTGGGTTTGTTCATGCCAACATTTTCCATTCCCAGGTTTGATTTGTTCATTCCTGGGTTTGGTTTGGTCATTCCTGGGTTTGCCATTCCCAGGTTTGGTTTGGCTATTTCCTGGGTTTAGGTTGTTCATTCCTGGGTTTGTTCATTCCCACGTTTTCCATTCCCAGGTTTGGTTTGGTCATTCCTGGGTTTGCCATTCCCAAGTTTGGTTTGGTCAGTGCTGGGTTTGCCACTCCTGGGTTTGGGTTGTTGATTCCTGGGTTTGTTCATTCCCACGTTTTCCATTCCCAAGTTTGATTTGTTCATTCCTGGGTTTGGTTTGGTCATTCCTGGGTTTGTTCATTCCCAGGTTTGATTTGTTCATTCCCGGGTTTGTTCATTCCTGGGTTTGGGTTGGTCATTCCTGGGTTTGCCATTTCCAGGTTTGGTTTGGCTATTTCCTGGGTTTAGGTTGTTCATTCCTGGGTTTGTTCATTCCCACGTTTTCCATTCCCAGGTTCAATTTGTTCATTCCCGGGTTTGNGTGGTCCCTGCCCTGCTGGGAGCTGCTGCCAGCCTTACCCTGAGCGATGAAGTTCTTCTCAAACTTCTGCAGGAACTCCAGGTACAGGAGATCATCAGAGGTCAGCGCTTCCTCGCCCACCACGGCCTTCATGGCCTGCACGTCCTTGCCGATGGCGTAGCAGGCGTACTGGGGGGAAAGGGGGCTCAGGGAGCCTGGCAGGGCCCTCAAACATCATCATCATCATCATCATCATCATCACCTCATGCCACCCCTGCCACGCCAGGGACACCTCCCTCTGCCCCAGATTACCCTAACCTGGCACTGCAGGGATCCAGGAGCAGCCACGGCTCCTCTGGGAATTCCAGCCAGGGATTCCCAATTCCCAATATCCCATCCATTCCCTGTGTCCTGTCCCTCCATCCCTCATCCCCAGCTCTCCTTGTGCTCCTCTGGGAATTCCAGCCCAGCAATTCCCAATATCCCATCCATTCCTGTCCTCTGACAGTGGGTTCCATTCCCTGTGTCCTGCCCCTCCATCTCTCACATCCCCAGTTCCTCCCCAGCTCTCCTGGTTCTCCTCTGGGAATTCCAGCCAGGAATTCCCAATATCCCATCCATTCCCTGAGTCCTGTCCCTCCATCCGTCATCCCCAGCTCTTCTTCTTGTGCTCCTCTGGGAATTCCAGCCCAGCCCCTCACAGCCCAGCAATTCCCAATTCCCAATATCCCATCCATTCCTTGTGTTCTGTCCTTCCATCCCTCATCCCAGCTCTCCTGGTGCTCCTCTGGGAATTCCAGCCCAGCAATTCCTTCCCAATATCCCATCCATTCCTACTCTCTGGCAGTGGGTTCCATTCCCTGTGTTCTGTCCCTCCATCCCTCATCCCCAGTTCCTCCCCAGCTCTCCTGGGAATTCCAGCCCAGCCCCTCACAGCCAGGAACTCCCAATTCCCAATATCCCATCCATCCCTGCCCTCTGGCAGTGGGTTCCATTCCCTGTGTCCTGTCCTTCCATCCCCTCATCCCAGCTCTCCTGGTCCTCCTCTGGGAATTCCAGCCCAGGAATTCTTTCCCAATATCCCATCCATTCCTGTCCTCTGGCAGTGAATGGGAAGCCATTTCCAGTGTCCTGTCCCTCCATCCCTCATCCCAGCTCTCCTTGTGCTCCTCTGGGAATTCCAGCCCAGCAATTCCTTCCCAATATCCCATCCATCCCTGCCCTCTGGCAGTGGGTTCCATTCCCTGTGTCCTGTCCCCAATCCCCCCCCAGCTCTCCTGGATCCCCTTCAGGCCCTGGAATTTGCTCTGAGCTCTCTCCATGTGAACGCCCCCAGCCTGGCTGTCCCCTCCTCTGGAATCATCCACAATTCCCCTACAAACCCAAACCCTCTCACTCAACACTCAGCCAAGGCTTAGTGAAAGCAGCCTCAGGAATGTTCTGGATGCCTCAGCTGGGCAGCCCAGGGGGTTTGGTACCCACCAGCTGGTTGGACACATCAGCGTGGTCCTTCCTGGTCATCCCCTCGCCGATGGCCGACTTCATCAGCCGGGACAGGGAGGGCAGGACATTGATGGGAGGGTAGATCTGGGGGAGAACACCCAGAATTAACAGGAATCCTTCAAATCCAGAATAACCCAAAGCACCTTGAGAGCAGCAGGGCACACACCTGCCTGTTGTGCAGCTGTCTGTCCACGTAGATCTGTCCCTCAGTGATGTAGCCAGTCAAGTCAGGGATGGGATGAGTAATATCTGTGAAAAAAAAAAAAAAAAA